TGGGGTGTGCGGATGTTAGTGGTGAGCCATCTCGTACAATGAGATGCCTCATAATAAACCATTATTGTAAATACAAATTCATTAGGACTAACAGTGACATCAGCTGTCTTACTTACGTATATCAATATTACTGAGAGTAAATTCTATTTAATCGTATATTGAGCAAGATGATTTTATTTTAATTTTATTAAAATAGTTACAAATTAAACCCTCCGTATTCGGATGTCCTTACTCTTAACTATTCGGCTACTGGAGATTCGATGGGTGGAAGTGTAAATCGTTACTGAATATTGTCTTAAAAACTCCAGTTATATTACTACGTCGATATAAATTCAAGATATGTAGTAGCGAACATCCATCCATCCATACACACTTTGGATTTATAACATTAGTACGATTGGTGCGAAAATTACTACATATTTCAGTGTCTAAAATACTATTGTAGTGTCTATTAATTTATTTGTGAAGGGAATTTTATGACATTTAAAAAACTTTCGTAATTGTATTAAATTACGTGACATTGTTGGCGGCTGGGCGTTCTTAGGAATTGGATAGGAGGAACTTTTTACTTTTAATAAGACAATTAAAGGAAATAAAATATGTTCCACAATTGGTGGGAACAGCTGTTAAGTACGTAATGTGATGAGCGCTTTCGTTTGCAATTATGAATAACAAATGAAATGAGGTAGAAAGTTTGCTATATTTTGAAAAATAAATAACCACAAATATTACAGTTTATTGTGTTACTGTCTAAATAGTTGCATAAAACATAGTCAACACAAACAGTTCCTTAACCCCAATTTCGGTTATTAAAAAGTCCTGTTTAGAGCAGTTATCTCCGTTGGTGGTTGACCTGACTGTCGGCTAAATACTGTATCGAATTGCTGCTAGACGTCGATAAGGAATTTAGAGTTTAAGCGTGGCTTTATTATTAAGACGATGTTACATTTTTAAATGACGTTTCAGTGTTCGCCCTTGAGTGTTTGAAGTGAGGATGTTTTATTTTATGTTATTGTACAAACAGAACAACTAACAATTTAAATTCAAACAATGATTAACGCTTAGTTCTGTTTACCTTCCTTTGCTCTATCGTAAAGGTAATAGGACATTCTTCATAAAAACAGCAAATAATAGTCATTTGTTTATTATCCGTTGTTTTGTTTTGTTAAACAATTAGAGATATTGAATGCATTTTTATATTTCGCATGTCCGTATCTAGTTATTGTTATATTTCACTGGCATGGTCGATGTTATTAGCCGTGTGTCCACTGCCACATGTCATTGGCAACTACCGTATTATGCAATGGATACAAAATGTCATCACCTCAAAACTAAAAAGAAATTTGAGTTTCGATGTAAGGAGCTTATAATACCGGATATTAAATACATTATGATGTGGTTTGTTATGTATTTAATAGAGTAAGATGGCTTTTTCTCTTTTTTTTAATTGCGTTATACTAATAACCGAAAAATAGATTATTCTTGTACGTCGAAGTTTCAACAAGAAATAGGACATTTTATATCTTGTTGATATAAAGTGTGTCAAGTAAAACTGATGGACGGTGGATTATGTATGAAGTGACATTCGCCACCGACACAAACTTACGTAATACAGAGAAATGATACTTTACAAGAACTTTTACTTTTAAGAGCGGCATGGGAAAGAAACGTTTAGTTATTTATGATTAACAAGTGAATATTCTCTTATTATAAATTAAACCGATTTCTTGACTGTTTTATAAAAACTTTTTTTTATAATATAAGGTGGCAAACAAGCAAGCGGCCACCTGAATCCATCGAAATGGAAAGCGATCGCTGCCCATAAACATCCGCAATTACAGATGCGTTGCATACTCTTCATTGACGGAGGAGGAGACGCTCATAAAGAGGATATTTCCCGTTCCTATGCGTCTCCTCCACTGTCAAATCAACTTTTCCTTAAAAAAAGGGTGGAAAGGGAAAGCGACTAAAATTAGGCCTCCGGCACCACACTCATCTGACGAAACGCGGAATTGCTTCCTCTTCACGCCTGTCTTCTGTGTGGTCGTGGTATTACACCGGGCGAGCCGGCCCATTCGTGCGAAGATGTTAAAGCGGGCACTACCACTGTTAAACTACATAAACTTGCTTTTAAAAGCGCGCATACTTAGTGTTGCTTTAATTCCTATGAGCTTATTTGGAGGTACACTATTCGATTTTTAGTTGCGCAACTAAACAGTTGAATTCTCTGCGAAACAATCGACAATCGCAACAATTGTGCGATCGTTTAGTCATAGGTTTGCGCCCGCTCTAAGATAGGATAATTGCGTTGTATCGCCAGGTGAAAGTCGAGCCGATGACTGGACCGCTGACAGATAAGACAGCAAGTCTACGAGCTGCCTATACGCTCCAGTTGCATTCCAGCTGGAGTACACTTCTCAATGCTCTTACATATATAATAAACATCTAACTTACTTTATACATTTCTAAGTAATAACTAATAGATACTTAATATGACGTGATGATGTTTTAAGGCGCGCCTGACACTTGTACCTTTTTTAAGAAGAGATATAAAAAAGATTAGTACATTTCTGAATGTAGATTATATTTCAAAAGCTTACAAGTAACTTGAACTAAGTAAAAGGCGGAGAAATCATCCTAAACATCAATATAAATAACAAATCAGTAATCATAGAAATTCTTACGTAACGCACTGCGACTCAGTTTTGTTAATATTAATTAGAAAAGATTGCGGACAAAAGAGTTAAAAAAACACATATTTTCTAAAAACTATCGGAATATCTATTTTGAAAGCATAGCTTGTTTCAAAAGATATTTAGGTATATTTTAAAGATACAACTTTACTGTTTATTGCAACATTATAACAATGGCGCGCATACCTTACAACATAAGGCAGTTTCACACGACCGGTGTGGCCCAGCAGTGGGACAATAGGGCAAGGGACAACACACTAACAACTCGCCGCTCACCTTTGAAATCAAAAGCAACGAACATTTTAACAATCCTTTCACGTTTTTATTATGTAGGGTTTCTGAAGTTTCCATTTATTTTATCTTTACCTAGTGATTGTGTTAGGTTAGGTTAGTTTCAAGTTTCAACCTTTTTAAAACTCATTACTTAATTAATGTATTACTTTACTAACTTAAACAGTTAACTATATTTACGAAGATCAAGATATGACAAGTGTAAATATATAGCGTAAGTTGTTCTTAATAATGAGCAGTTTTTATCTCTATTTTAAGTTTTTTCATCCGTCTTCGGGCATCCTCCATTTTGCACTGCTACTAATGTTGTGTATAGAATATTGCGCATCGATTCTATAAATTTAGATGAGTGGCCGACTTAAAGCTTTACCTTTATCACTTAGCTTAAAGAATGAAATACTTTTATTGTAGTGCTTTTATCGTGTAAGCGCGAGTTACGTAAGTTGTTGATGGTGTTCCAGTCACGTGGCCGCGTGTCCGGTTGTACTACACTAGCGTGTGGCCATGAGAATAGCGAATTGTGTACAATTGAAAATACCTTGAATTAAAAAATCACGAAAATTGTAACATTCCAAAGTTGTTTCATAAAACAAAAATATTGCTTCTGGGGTTAATTAATTGCAAGAATTTTATATAAAGGGTAGGCAGAACTGCTGTAAATTATATTCATCATCTTTCTGTCCTTATTCCAATTATGTAATATCGCCGCATTAGGTTTCATTTCTCTTATATTAACTTAAAAAACCCGCTGGTTTCGTGGCCACACATGTTTTTCACCTTAGCATGCAAATAAAAAAATATTGAAAGTTATTCCGTTCTCACTTGTTACAATGCATTCAATCGACATCGACGACCACAGTCGAGGTCATTGCTTGTCATTACGTGTGTTGTATGGCGGCCATCAATGACTACTACTTGAAGACCTCTCTATACCTCCAGCTGTTAAGCCAGCTACACACGTTCAGTTTTAACAGTCAATATGTACAAATAAAACTAAAGGTGTGTAGCAGGCTTTACTGATTACCTTTCTAGTTTTCATAGTTTATATTTCTTTCGTTATATGAATGAATACGATTGATTATATAAGCTTTAATATTTTTTATGTCTGATTTTAATTGCTTATTAAAGTTTTAAGCAATTAATTTGATTATCCGATACCAAATGTATGAGTTGTGAGGTTGTGACGATTAATTAATTTTCTTTATTCTTAATAACTTGTTCAGTTTTGGTGTTGGTTTAATATATTTAAAAACATGCCAATAATTAGTTGTAGCAATTAAAATTAATGAGTGTGCTTATATGTTTTATTGTAATTATCTTAATTACAAATAACTGAAGCATTTTTTAGTTATATCTGTCTGTAGTCATAGGAGTACGGTGGTAGGTGAGCAGCCAGTGTAGCAAGTCGGTGAGTGCGCGCGGGTCCTCGCAGCGCAGCTTGTGGCAGTTCTTTGCCCGCCGGCGGGAGCTACCATACAAGAAAATTATAAATGTATGTGAATTTAATGGTTTTAGAGCGGGCGCACACTTTTGACTAAACTACCGCACTTTATGCGATTGTAGATTGTCGATTTTTCCGACGCTAATTCAATTGTTTAGTTGCACAACTAAAAATCGAGTTGTGTTCCTTCATATAAGCTCATAAGAATCAAAACGCGACTAAAAAGTTGTGCGATATTTTAGTCCAAGCTGTGCGCGCACTTTTTGTAAAAAGACGTAGAATTATTTCCAAACGGAATTACAGTATTTATCAAACTTGATGCTTTTTAAGTAATCAAATATAATAGTGTTAAGATTTGAATGTGGATGACTACAAAGGCAGAGGAAGTATGGATTGTGTGAAAGAAGATATGCTTAAGAAAGAAGTGGATTCAGATATGACGGCTGGTAGAGATGTATGGAAGAGCAGCACATACTGTGCCGACCCTCCATAAGGGATAAGGGCAAGTGGACGATGATGAATAAAGTTGGTGCTTTGTTAACTCACTTGTAATGTCTTTCTGAATGTATCTCGCAAAGCAAACGGCGCTTGCAGTCTTCACTGACAGCTGGTAATGCTGGTAGCCCTGGAGACTGTTGAGACTTGCTGAGGCGGCGGGATGCTCGGTTGAACTGTCTGTTAACAAAACTATTATGTACCTAAATACAAGTCAAAATGACTAATGTAAGTCGAATAAGTAGACAATTTTCGTTAGAGCGGGCGCATACCTTTGATTGAACTATCGCACGACTGTTGTGCGATTCGATTTTTCGCAGCCCATTCAACTATTTAGTTGCACAACTGAAAATCGAGTGACTAAACAGTTGTGCGATAGTTTAGTGAAAGGTGTGCATGCGCACTACAAGCTACTTTGTTATTCTTTTCACATTAAATGTGACAAAGTATGTGTAAGCAAATCGACGCTGCGAATGTCGCGGAGAAAATTGTGAGTGCTGCACGCACTAAATCGTATTTTCTATTTTGCACGATCTTGGCAAAGCTCTCTTATCCAATACTAGCTGTTCCCGTGCGATTTCATCCGCATAAAATTATGAATATTTTATTTACTGTTTACATGTGTCAAATTATCAATTGCAAATGTTAAAATGACATGACGATGACAAACCATGGCAACCTTGTTTCTTGATGTTGGCAGCAACTTATGGTCTCTTTTCCACATTAGGTTTTTTTTATCCAAAATATTTACCCCTTGAGTTTAATGGCGTGAAAATATATAGCCTAATGCGTAACGTAAGTGTAGGGCTTTTTATTAAAAAAATAATTATTCAAAAATATGCTGTAATTGCTGACATCTTAGGCAACAAAGAAGTGTGTGTTTACGCTTTATTATAATAGTATAGATGTATTCCGATATTGTTGTTGTTAAACTTTAATATATCTTAGAAAACTAGCTTGAATTATGACGAATTATGTTATCACACTCGCGTGTTACAGTTTAATATAAGAGACATAAACGATATTCGTAACATTTGCATGCAGCGGAAGTTAGTACGGTACATTTCCGACTTTGTAGAAATCGGATGCACGCGAAGTGTAACGTTATGTCAAAATTAGTACAACTTTATTATCTCATAAGTCTTATTATTTCTTTTAATGACATCTAAGTTAAGCTCAAAGTTTTCGATCTGATTACACTTTGAGCGTCAAGTAATTTTACTGGAATGGATAGGAAATAAACGTCCTCAAGTATACAAACTATATGAATCTTACTGTGTGTTCGATGTGTCCTCGATGGTGAGTATAGTTGGCGTGAGAGCGGACACGATGAGGCCTACGGGCAGCAGGGCTGTCACCAGATGCAGAAGGCTCTTCCAAGGGTTGGCTCTGGAATATAATGGAATGGTTATTTTGTAAACATTGTAAGAAAAACAAGCAATACAATTCCAATCTAAGTCAATTAGTTAAAATGCAAAGTCATAGCACAGAGCTAAAGTAATTAAATAGAAAACATTGAAAATAAGTACAAAAATACCAAATAATGGTTTAAAATTAATATGCAAATTGAAAAGACTTTCATTGACGTATGACGAGTCAAGTTTTGCAATAGAAAAAGAGGATAGATACGTAATAATAGATGTTTTAACCATACAACGCGTAACTAGTTAAGTTACTATTGCAGTTTTCATGAGTCACCTTAGAAAACCGTTAAATTACCATATTAATTATAGTTACTGGCACAATACCTTTTCTTGAGAGGATTATCTTTAACATTGACAACAGAATCCGGGCGATAATCAATATCTTCATAGGAATTTGGTTTATCCCTTAAAACATCATGTTGTTTGTAGAGTCCCCCAGCGGGTATCCTGACAGGCGCTTCTATTGTTGGTTTAGATTGCAAACTCTGTCCACCCCAAACTGAACTGTCGATAGCCGAGTAAGTTTCATATTTATAAGGAAAAGCGACGTATTCTTGGTTATTGTGGTGTGTTTTGAACTGGTCTCTCCAAGATCTGAGAATAATTTATTTTATTTCATAAATTTAATTAATTAAGCAGATTTGAACATAATTGAATTTTTCAGTAACTTTCGAATATCACTTCAAGAGAATTAAAGCGTTTTGGATTTCTAGTACATTTGTAGATGTACTTTGCTCATAATTGGCTAACTATTTCAGTTATTTCTCTAATTGATTCCGAATAATACTCGAAAGTCAATTACGAAATAGTTATGAATATCTAAGTCTAACTAAGGCTTGTTATTAATGTGCGTTTAATCCTTAAAGACAATTTCAAATATTTACTTAATTATACATAATTCTATTTAAAATGTACCCGATAAATTTAGACGTGTCGAGTGTAGGGGTAGATGTAGTAAATGTAGGAGAATCCTCGATAGTGTCATAGTAAGAGTTCAAATGAGGACTCGGTTTAAACTCCTTTAACCTCTTATCTTCTTCATTATCTTCGTGCTTCTTAGTTACTTCTTTTTCATTATCAGGATCTGAGTAATCTTCAACATTGTTGTGTTCTTTTGGTAACTTTAGTGTTGTTTTTGATTCTTTGTTTATTTGTTTAATTTTGTACGATTCATTGCAATTTTTATCGTTTAGTTCATTTGTTTTTATTGGTAAATGTGTGATTTCGTCTTCATGTTCTAAATTAACAAAGCTTGTGTTTATCTTCCAAGTTGTTTTATCTGTTTTGACATCTTTTTCGGATATTTTAAGTATATTAGAAAATTCTGTGGTTGCTTTAATAAGAGGTATTTTATCAACAGGGTACAATGTTGTCGTATTGAAGTCAGCATTGAAATTTTCTTCTGTATTTTCTATAAATTGAATACATTGTGCGATTGATGTTATGTAAAACGTCCAAATGAATATCTGAAACACGTTATATTAAGTTATATTTAATGGATTTTCTGCAGATTTTGTAGCATGTTAACTTAGTATAATGTTATTTTTTAACTACGTAAATATAGTCGTCTTTCAAGTTGTTTGATATCCACATTTGTTGATAAAAATTGGTTAAAGTGGTAGTTAAATTGAGTATCTTTAGCTATTATCGAGAAAGTGTTAGTTGAGGTTAGTCAGGGCCAGATGGCAGAGGTCGGAGGTTCGAAGCACACTCATTGCCTCTACAACATACTTAAATCAAATCAATACATTGTAGAAATCACAATCATAAATACTGTAATTATTGTAATTTTTACTTTTGTATATTAAGACTTAAAAGTAACATAATTCAATAAAAAACAATTTACTAACTTTCATAAAATTTTGATTTCAAGACAGTTTAGTTTTTTTCTTAATAAATAGCGATGTGGTCAATAATTCGTTTTTTTTTTCATAATTGTTTGGTACTTTGCAAATTAATTATATTAAAAGTTAATTATTACTTTTTAGTTATATATTTTATTTTGGTAGATTATTAGATAAAGCAGTAAGTAGGTAACATATACTTTGTATGTCTATCTGGATTGTTTAGCGCAATATCTCCGTGACCCAGTGCGAGGCGGATGAGTTCGGACTTACAAGTGTTTTACAGTCAAGGACATATATTTCCTACCCTTTTGTGAAATCATGTTCAAGCGACATGAAATAAGAAAACTTGTCATAACATAAAGCTGTTATAATTATAGTTTCACATTCGAAATTAACTGGGGGAGTGAATTTAATTCTTTGACCACCGCTGGCGATGGCGATGTCTTGCGTAACTCCAGCACTTTCACCGTCGATTGCCATGTCAGTGACCCCGCCCGCGACACCACAAGGCCGTCTGCTTATGGGGCTACGGAATTGGCGTAACTATTGATTATTATGCAAAAACTTTCCTATTATGTATGTCTTGGACTTAAGTTGGCAATCTATGATTTAATTATTTTCTAGAACATATAACTAAGTCAGTCTATATTAGTGTAATGTGTTGCTTTGACATTTAAATTGCTTGACGATTATAACTTAGACAGTTTCGAATGTTAGGAACTTTTTAAATGGGAAGATTATGCGTGAAGTATGATGAATAATTTGTGGTTATTGTGGCACTGTAATGACATTATGTGTGACTTCTGCCGCAGCAGGTGTACAGAGAAAGTGTGTGTATAGACGTGCTGACTGCTGGCCCTCACTGCTGATTCATACCCTATCTAAGCACTGCTACAGAGGTGCATTTTAATTCATACTGTTTTCCGCTTTTGTATCTCAATAAATTACGATGAAAGTTATCACTGAATATTTAATCTTCCAAGTCGACGATTTGACGACATATTTAAATTAACTTTTTAATAGAAATTCAATTTACGCAATTTTTATACACATATCAAAATACCAGCGATCTATCCCAGCTCCGCTTAGGTTAGCAAGACTAAAATATAGCCGATATTCCACGGTGAATTTTCGAAACCTGTACAGTGCTCTCGGAGCTAATTCAATGCAAACAATCAAGTTTCTGTTTATAACGTTAGTACAAATGATCTAAAATATTAGTGAAAGCATCGGATACTTAGTAAAATGGTTCTACTTACCACCATCAGCTTTTCTACCATCATGTCCCTGCGGCAATGGAGAGAGCATGCTTTTACACTGATATTTATAATATTTTACATTGTGTCTGTCCATGCTGCGACACCTTCCCTATTGTTTGTGCTTTCTTAAATATTGTAGAGCTGGCGATTGTTTGCTTGGCTGTGGTTTGACGTTGTCGATAAAGTTAAAATGTCGATTGTTTAAAAATGTTCATATAACTTATTCCCAAACGTCACCGAAATTTCGAGGTTAAAATGTATCTATTAACTAAAGATTTGATAAACAAACAAGATGTTCATTGTCCATTTTTGTATCGAGATTATTACACATGTAGGTATGACGTAATAAAACTGTTATTTCAAACTTTACCAGAGCTTTTCTCCCTAGAAATTAATAGCAAAACATAACGACTTCCGTTTCCTTAAACTATCATGGGAGTTGTACTGTTATGTACTTGTATAATTACTGCAAATCAATTAAAGTGAAATGTGAGTTTAAATAAACACATTGGCAATTAATCACGTCATTAAAAGTTAAAGTAGGTCTTCTCATTTAGTTTTAACACGTTACATTGCAATGTAGGATTTAAATTATCATCAAATTTTCAAATCTAAAAGTAACTTATACGATAAACCAAAAAACAATCGATTATCGATATGTTGTTTGTCATGTTATCCCATCCCTAGTCAAATGTTCAATTTTCCAGATGCGTGCCCGAGCGTGCGCTTCCATAGCGCAGTGTATTGTCTCACCGAGTACCACTAATTACTTCCACATTTTTCTATCAACTCTTATGAGTTAAGATTTACCTAAACAAAGTGTTTGAGGGTTTAAAATCTGTAGAAAATGTGCTAAAAGAAAACTAACAATATTTGAGATTGCCTTATTTAATCAGCCTTTTAATCAATACTAACTTAAACTTAAGCAATTACTGCCGCATTTACTTGATTAGTAAATCATTCTAATGTAACTCCACATTCATGTTATGAACATGTCAATCACAGCTAGACTGCACCCTCGTAACCTTCGTAGAGCAGTGTCCGGGGCACGTGCCTGCTCCTCATCAGCCGTTGCTCAGACTCGCTCCTGCCCTCCAGCGTCAGCTCCACCCGCCGGCTGTTCACCACACACGCTGAGTAGTATAACATCACTGGAAAATAAAACTTACGTCCTTTCAAACTGAATTATATGCTTTCTTTTGTTTTACTGACTTTAACTCACCCGCATAAACAAAATACACCGAAACCATTGTGCTGATGTCAGAATAGTTATTCCCTTTACTAGGGAGGGTCATGAGAACAGTGCCGAGCAGCGCCAGCCCGACAAGCACCACGCTTGACGCCCACGACAATACCACCCACGGCCACAGCCATTTTGGTTTTTGCTGCAAACAAATATCGATTACAATAACAGGAATAGTCTTGTAGTTCAGCTTAAAGTTCTACTGTACTTTATTTTCAGGTTAATTTATTTTTTTCAAACATAAAAAAGGTTTAAACACATCTTTGCTATGATATTTCGTCAGGCGTCATTATGTTTTGCGTTTTCTTACGATTGGTAAAAAGTTTATTCTTCAGTAACAATCTCTGTTTCATGTCGAAAGTGAATCATGTTTTCGTATAAATTTATATTTTACAAGCAATAAATGGTATCGATTCATAGTAAAGTTGTAAAACAATAACTGATAGATCTTATCAACACAACTTTTTGTATCTGCGATAATTTAATTCAATGGATTGAAATATTAAGTACAATGATTTCATTAATTTTCTTCAAAATTAATGTGTACAATACATATTGTTATAATTTTAATGATTTTTAGGTACTTTTCATGATGTAAACCTATTTCTTTTATATTTACGACTTTGCCCCCACTAACCTTGAAGGCTCCATATGTCATAAGAAAGGTGGGCAGCAGTGCTGCGGCTGCTGAGGCGCTCACCAGGCCGTAGAAGAGACGACGCTGGGGCTCCAGGTAGTCTAACTGTGCTGACACCAGACCGTATACCAGAGATATTAGTGACGTTATCACCTGCACAGCAAACAACAACTGTACTTACAACACTTAAAATAATAAGATAGGTTATAAATATAATTGTAATTGTAATGCAATTATGATATCAAAGTATATAATCAACGACAATGTAAGTCGTTATCACTTAGACATTTATTGCGCATACTTAGTGAATGTGTCATTAACATCATCTGAAAGTGATGATCCTATTGGTTGAAAATATTTTAGGCATAACCTTATTCCCTAGAAGTCTAGAAGCTAAATGTTTAATAAAAAATTATTCTCGATTTATTGCTAAGTAATAAAAATATTAAAAACTAAAATATTTTATAGGAGATACGATTTAATAATTCATTTGAATAAAAAAAAATCGAATCATGTTCGAGGAACCTTGATATTCAGAACCATTGCTAGGCAGAACCGATATATTCTGTTGTTAAGACTAGTATCAGGTATTTCCCCGGGAAATGGTACTGGTATTAAGCTTTATTTCGTATTACAATTCCATCAAATAGAAGAAATTGTAAAAAATGAAATAAACACAGTCATTACACTAATTTCATTAGAATTAGCGAGTACTTATAAAATAATAAATAAAAATTTTCAAAGTATATTTACGTTCATAAAATAAAAAATAAAAAATAAAAATAAAATAGGATTATTATTATTCTTTAGTACATACCATGTGAACCACACCTAAAATCTTCGTTCCAACTTCCAAAGTAAGACAACAACAACAAACTTCCATCGGCAAACACATCGTTATTGATTTCATAATTACACCATGATTGCAGTTAACAAGATTGTTATAGACTGACCACAGGTTTGTAGTGGAGTGTATCCGGCGCTAGCAGAGGGCGGTACTGTACCCGATATCAGATATCTGATAAGTACTGTGATGTAATTAAGGAATGTGGATTTGTCGCTTAACAGGAAATTCGTAATCTCTTCGAAAAAATATCTTTAATGCTATTCTTCGATACACTTGTACTCGACGCTGACAATTTTTATGTACCGTCGATTGATTCTCCTATTGTTTTATCTAGTTTTTTTAATAAGATATAATCTTTATTAGACGGAACTATAATATCTTATCTTCGTCTACTTTTTTATAACTATAAAGGTGTAAGTACATTTTCTGGTCAAAGTGTTTTATTTTAAGTATTTGCTTGTTAACTTTAAGTAGTTGATTTGATTGTTTATTTTTAACATTATTTATTATATTTTTAATCTCATACCCAAATATAACATTTTTTCACATATTTTGATAATTAACATCTGTTCTATGTAACTAGGTATGCAAAATATTTAATTATGTAAATATGCAAACATTAACTTTCGTTTGAAACTCCGTCTGTGTGGAATTAAATCAAAAATAAGTAGCCTACAAGTTCTTTTAAACTAACCTCTACATCTATGCCTTTCATCGAAAACCATTCAACATACATCCATCCACAATATCTCATTTATTACATTAGTAAGATTAATATAATGATGAAGTAATTGTCAAATTATTTAATTTTAGTTAATTAAAACAATTTCGCCTAACTGTTACAACACATGCCATCTTCTTGGGGTATAGCTTTAACACTGACATTGTAAGAGTGATTGCAAGCATCAGGAGTCAGAACAATCGCAATAAATTCTTTTATCTTATAGTAGAATGTATTGATAACAGCAGTCGCGAGACACACGCTTTACCGTGCGTACGTACGACGGAGACTGACGTCATAGTTCACTAATAGACGAATGTGAGATATTTGTGGCACAACATGGGTGTTCCCATGGTAAACAAGTGTTGCTACTGTGTTAGTCTACACACAGGAACCCTAGTCATTGCCTATACGTATACAGTAAGTTTTATTAATATTATCTTGATCAGTTCAATTGTTCAATTTGATCTGAATCAAATTGATTGTTAAAGATCTTTGTGATTTGTAATTTCAGTACTAATTAAATAAATGTACAGAGTAATGAAAGTGAGACAGAATAAACTAGAGTTGATTTGTCTTTAAATAGTATTTTAGATTCTTTACAATTTCATAAAGTTTATGTTTACATAATGTTTTCTTTTGTTAAGTAAGAGGAAAATCAGCATTAGAGTGCGTTTAATATATTAAATACTTTTAATTGTCCGCAAATACGAATATTGTTATGTATTATTTATATCCAAATATGTTCAAGAAACAATTTTCTTGTTATGATCTAGTATAGTGTAATATTATCTATGGTTATGGTTTATTATTTACCTATTCGATATTCAAATATTTTCTTATATACTCGAGTTGAAAGTTTTAAAAAACATTTATATAACGATTTAAAATTTTTTCATTACCAAAATATTTCCATATCGAAGTTAGTATTATAATGTTTACATTATAAATTTGCCAATTAACGTGTCAGCTTCTGTTAATAGCTAAAGTTTACAATGCCAAGATTTTAAAATACTCCTGTATTTTCGCTTACGTCAACGATGATTTTATAATTAAAAATAGACATAGCGGTAGGGTCATTTCACTGTTTAAAAATTAAACATTAATGCTACATGTCATCAATAAACAATAAATTCTTTCTATCTTTATCAGCGCAACAACCGTGTAAAAAAAGAATCAAATTTTATGGCTGCTCGTGATTAGCTACGAGTACAATACGAGTCCCTGAACTTAAAGGTGAAGGAAAGCGCCTCTTCCTAGTATCCTTTCACGTCTCACGACACTTGTACCGAGAATTCTATTTTCGAGCAGCGCTAAAGTTTGGATAGCATTATACTGTATACGATAGTAGCCCGTAATAATATAGGCGTTTCTATTGCCTACTCTCATTACTAAACATACATTGCCCATGACGTCACGGCCTTGGCGCACTCAGTTTAATCTTTACAGCCGCATCATTGTAACTGTTACCTTATCTTTCTCTGTTACATTTTATTTGCGTTCCAATTACTGATATAGGTTAAGATGCATGGAGACACTTATGTGATTATTTTAGAATTCTTTTTTATACTCTCTGAATAAAAGGCAACGCATCTAAAATCTAACAATGTAATTAGTTGACGTATATTATCACAGTTTTTAACCAAGCATTCCTTTTTCCTTTGTGTCCAGGTATGGGCGCTTCTGGAGTTGACAGCTTACTGCCTACTGGTGACGTTGGCGCCACTAGTGCGCGAGGGCGATCTCTCCGCGCACAAGTACGCCCTCTACGTCACCGCGGCGGCCGTCAGCGGTGTTCATCTTCTTTGCTCCTTACTGCTCATTGTTGCAGCTTATAAGGTTGTTGTTTTGTACGAAAACGTGCACCAAATTCACAAAATATATTAAGTCTTTGCTGTCAGTAAACCTCTTTAATGGTTATTCAATTACTCAGTTATAATTTCTAAATAAGCAGATATAATTGAATTCTTGCGTGATTTTTCCAGAAATTGGCGTCACTCACGTTGCCATGGACTATTGTGACGGGCATCCTGACAGCGCTCTTCTTCGTGATGTGCCTGACTGGCATCAGCCTCATCTTGCAGGACTCCGGGGAGATGCTGGGCGTCGAGGCCGTTATTATATTCGTACATCTCATGAGAGCTTGTGAGCACAACATTGATATAATATGAAATACCTTAAGATAGATAATGAATATACCAAAAGCACTGTTTCTTTGCTAGTAACGTTTTTAAATATTTGGAGAAAACCGAAAGAATATCGTACAACCCTTTAAGCTTAAGTCAAGTCTTTAAGTTTTCATTTAGCTATCATATATATTTCAGGTGTGTCAGTGTACTGCATAGTGATAGTGCACAGTCGGCACAAGCAGATCATGTACGAGGAGGACGAACAGAGGTTCCAGAACTCGGCGCGCCTCTACAAGGCGGTGCGGACCTCCGAACCTGCTGCGTGAAGTCCTGGAGAGATTGCAGAATTTCTTTGAACGATGGTGCTAACAGAAATGCCAAGATCTCACTGCATGCAATGCATTAAATAGCTAATCTGCTGCCTTACATTCTGACAGTGAAGTGTCCAGAAGCCTTAATTCAGTAGATAAATAAAATGTAAATTTTATAAAATTATTAAATGTAGTCATCACATTTTGTATGTTTTTAATAAACAATGATATAATTATTTTAATAACAACGTTTCTATCTCAAGAGTTACCTTATGGTGTATTTAAGTAATGGTTAGGTTGTCATTGTGTAACGGGCTGTGGTTAATTTTAAATACCTGGAACTGCTATTTGTTAGTAGAGATATTAAAGTATTTTGTTATTTAATTATTATTATAAATAAAAGTCTGAATATAAGTACAACTTGCTTCATTAATAACCACAATTTGATTATTGGCTATTTTATGAATAATTTCATGTTTATAAAATTGCCATGCTTTTTCCTATTTCGCATCTATTTACAACATTTAAAAATTGCTCACACATAAAACTTAAAATTGTGTTTTGCGCAGCGTTTGCGGCGCATAGTGTGATACGTGAAACGGAACGTGTGCAATGTCCATTGATTTACGTCAAAAGATGACGTCACATGACGCAAAATTGGGATTTTGTTTGGCGCTACTCTTCTGCGCTACACTTTTTTCCTTGAAGCAACAAGGATGCAAAACATGTTTTGTCTTTTTTAAATCCTTGGTCCATAGATGTTCGACTTGGATATTAAGTTTTCTCAAAAACAAAATTGTGTTTTAAAAAAAAATAGTGTTATATTTGTTTGATGAGTGTTAATAATTTACAAATCTGTTTTAAAACGTTAATTCTACATTCAAACGTATTTTTAGTAATTATAAATCAAATATATTATTTACAGGTATGTTTTTATATTAGTTTGTTATTAATAATTGACAAAAATACTTATAGAAAGCTTAAAATCAAATTAAAAATTAAATAAACATGTAACCTTGGCTGATGGTATGTTAAAATTCATACCAACGTAAATTAAGAATTCACAATGTGTCTTACTACAAGTTATTTTTAAACAATGCTGTCTATAAGTATGTTTTTTTATGGCTTATGTTCCATTTAGCGATTGAACATGATTAAAGATTATTTGAATGAAATGTCGCGTTACAAATTTATGTTTTGACTTATTTTTTGGTCCATAAAGTTGGGGATATATAAGTTCTTGCATGGAAATACATCCTTTAATAAATCTGATATGTATCTACATACTACATGGTTACTACCCAGTAATAATGAATAGTTTCAGTTACACCTAACAAACTATGTCTGTTATTAGTGATTTCATTATTTCTGATTTGTTAACAAGTATGGCTTTGTAGCATTCTGAATGTCTCATGGTAGACTGATGTTAAGTTTAGTTTTATATGAATGAGAATGAAACACTTTTAAAATTATAATTGCCTAAGCCAAAGTATTAAAACTTTGATATTGCTTACTGCCCTGGTGCAGCAACCCAAAATTGGTTTTGGCCTCAGACACAAGAGAGTGAAAAGTCAATAATAATATTTTTTTTATAACATAAGGTGGCAAAATGGCGAAGCGACTGCTGGCCATAGATATCTGCAATTGCAGATGCGTTGCCTACTCTTATCCGACAGAGGAAGAGATGCACATAAAGAGGATATTTCCCCTTCCTATGCATCTCCTCTACTGTCAAATCCACTTCCCGTTCCCATCCTCCCCTTATAAGAAAAAGGTGGTAAAGAGAAAGTTACTTAAATTAGGCCTCCGGCACCACACTCATCAGACGAAACACAAGTTCCTTCCATGAATATTTTTAATGTAGAGTTTCAATTGTTTTTTAGCTCATATTTTAAGCTGTCTTTTGTTGAGGTGTTTACTTTTAAGCCACCGATTCAAAGTTATTTGTATTAAAATGTATGTTGTGTTTATTATAATAGTTTTAATTGTTTAATCAATCAACATTATTTTAAACTGTGTTGTATAGATAGGACATCACAATCACTTGTAACAGTGTGTCATTGCATGAGGGGATGGCCTTGACTGCCCACTGGTTTTTATACCAGGCCCTCCCCGACTACACCCATGTGGTACAAAACATAAGCTTTCTGCAATTACATTTATTTATACAGATGAATGTTTTAAACTGTTTAAAACAAATAGAGTTACATTAAGATATGATGGGTTAGTCTGTCCAATAATTTCAAGTTTTATTTGTATTTCGATAATTCTTGATAATGCCTAAGGCTGACAAAGATAAGCAATTTCAGGGCTACACATGTTGGCAACAATCATATCTTTGCTATTGTTTCACTTTCCTTTTCTTCTAGTCTATTTATAGCGCAAAAAGAAGAAACATTACTTAAATTCCTGTATGTTTACACAAACACCTTACGAATATCCATTTTAGAGGGCACTTTTGTAAAATACTTCTATTAGTGGAGACCTGTTATTGGCTGTACAATTTAACTACCACTATACCTACTTTGTTGTAATAGCTGTTGGTCTTCCATGAAAATAAAAAAATTAGAGGAGAGGCAAGACTTGAGTTTGAAGTTTGAACATACCATATGTATAAGTTTAGGCGTCAATCGCTTCAGCTTGTGGTTTGTGGTTTGTTAATGAATCCCGTTGTAGATAGGCAAAAACATGGCGTTTTAATTTAGCTTGCTGTCCACCACACGGCGTATTGTCAGTCGTAGTTTCGAAACCGAGTGAACCATGTTGAATAACAGGACCGCGTAAGTTATTTTTATACGTCTCATTATCTAAAGAAGCGACCAGACAATTTTTTTTTAAAGAGATACATCAGAATTTTTTTTTATTATTTTTTTCTAGACACCTTGGGTCATCAAGGTTAAGTGCTATGAATATATTTTTGATATTCGAAAAAATAAAATTCTGCAAAGTTAAGGGTTAAAAAATTGTCTCCTCAAATATCACAATACGCGTTATACAACTATGGTTGAAATTTTACGTTGTTTCCCGTAGTAAAAAAAACCTAAAGCCCGTTAATAAAACAAAAAAAGTAAAAACTCTCGTGACAGCTTTTCTGATGAATCTTTCTTGTTAACTTTGTTTATTGTCACTTTTTCTCTTCTTTCTTGATGTATTTCTAAAGCTTTATTATTGTTGGCTAAAGCTAATTTTAAAACTTCGGTCTGTATCGATTCTAAGGTAGAGATAAGTGCGGATTCTCGTTAACTACAGTTCAAATTTACCTCTTTGTTACTAAGTTATATTACTGTAATAGTCAGTCATTAAGTTCTTAAGCAAGCTAAAATAAAATGTAGTAATATCCAGTTTTTATACATCAGTACCATAAGTTAGGACTAACTTGTTACGATAAAAATGCCGGTTGTGACGGCTGGTTTTCCACTTAGTATGAACGGGTACTACAGGTTGAGCGGTTTCGATGAAGAGATTTTTATTTATGCTCAATATTGCTATTTTATGCAACAACACAGTTATGAGTTAGTGCGGAAAATCCATCTACGTCCTTAATAATGGTTTACCCCACACTTATTATCATCAATAGTTAAGTAAACTAAACACCTAATTCTCTGCTTATGTAATCAGTTAATACAATTGCATTTTATTCATTAATTTTGGGTTTGCGGCTGGTAATTTAAATCAATTGTGTTTTCGATGTACTGATGAATGTTATCTAAAACTTTAAACTAATCAAAATCTGTCTCAAATTCCAGTGGTAACGAGCAAGCGACTGCTGCGAGCATGGGTATGCCGTACATCACCAAGTTCTGCTGGTGCATGAGTCTGGAGCTAGGCTCCAAGGTCATCGGATATCTGCATCTGGTGAGCAGATCTGGTATTCAAATTTAACCCCCATT